ATACTATCTTACCAACAGTACCAATAATATTGTATAATATCTTACCAGTAGTACCAATAATATTGTATACTATCTGACCAGCAGTACTAATAATATTGTATACTATCTGACCAGCAGTACCAATAGTATATACTATCTTACCAACAGTACCAATAATATTGTATAATATCTTACCAGTAGTACCAATAATATTGTATACTATCTGACCAGCAGTACTAATAATATTGTATACTATCTGACCAGCAGTACCAATAATATATACTATCTTACCAACAGTATTGATAATATTGTATACTATCTTACGAACAGTACCAATAATATTGTATACTATCTTACCAGCAGTACCAATAATATATACTATCTTACCAACAGTATTGATAATATTGTATACTATCTTACGAACAGTACCAATAATATTGTATACTATCTTACCAGCATTACCTATAACATAATTGTACTGTTACAAAGTATTTATTACTTGGCATGATAATTCAACTCTGTAATAAACCACATGAATACCCTCTTCATAAATTTCATTTAGTATGTAATTTGATGTTCACAATTAATTAACCAAATCCTACACTGTATGTATAGATGCATTCATTTGTTCAGTCTAAAAGGTGGATAGATGTACAGTATTTGTAAACTATCACCCTGCCTTGAAAATGATTTATTTTCAGCATTGGTAGCTTTTATTTATTTTTTCCCCATCTGGAAATTATAAGTATACACTGCTATTTCCAGACAGGGAATCAAGGAAAAATAATTGTAACCACTTTTTCTGTAAAGTGCTGGAGAAATGAAATGCTTATAAACTGCAAAGGAGTGTTATGGGATGTGGAAAGAAATATTGATTTGTCTGTAACAAGACTTCCTTTTGACAAGCTTATCACAACAATGTATGAGAGCAAAGATGATTTTTCTGAAACATAACATTACTTTACAAAAATTATTGGTTTCTCAAACAAACTGTGTGTGTACTGTCTTTAAAGAAAATAAGATTCTTTAAACAAATCAAATACTGAAAACTATGGTATAAAAGCAAAATTCAATTTAAACTTTTGTTTCTTTATGACCTTATACAGTTTAGGTTATTTAATGAAAATGTTAAAGAAATAAAGGCACAAAATTGATTAGAATTTACATATCCTACTAAAATCATATGGTTCTTATGGTATTTCCTTCATTGATACATGTATAGTTAATGGTAATACTACTGACTAAATGCCATACAATTTACATTTATAACCATTATCATGATACTTTGCCAATTTTACTTATCATTTCTTTCCTCAGGATCAATATATTAACTCTTGAATGATTTGTGCCATGAGTAAGATTGCTGCATTTTTCAACAAGTTTCTTCACATAACACAGCAACATACATGGCACAAGTTTATGACAGGCTATTAAATACAATTAATTTGAGTAATCCAAGAGTTAAACTGAAATATATAATCCAAGTATTTCACTATCTCTTGGTCTAGCTAAACCATGAAACTACAGATCATTACATAATTTTAAAATGTCCAGTTTTGTGGTCACTGCACAAGATATTACTATAGACTAAAATCAGAGTGACACAATCATACACCACAAGAAATTAATAAGTTAATATTATCAAGTGAAATTATAGAAACACATTAATTAGAAAAAAACTTACCAATCATAAGCAAAGAAACAGTCAGATGTTCCCTTCCTGTAGCTTTTAGAGCTCCTAGAACTGTTCCGACTATGGCACAACAAAGTCCGACAAAAGCAATCATCACAATAAACCACCTTATACTGACAGTTTGTGTCACCATCACACCACAGCAGTGTTTAGGTTCCTCAGTTTCTGATGCAGCAGGAGCAGTAAAAGTTCCCATTCTTCCATTTAATCTAGTCCTTCCTCTTCTATGAAAATGTCTAAATGTACTATTGCGTCTATTGCATGCCAATCTTCGAGAAGGAGATCTTGAGCGATGAGGAAGAGGAGGAGGATCACACCTACTACTGGGGATACTATGTAAATCAGGAGGTGGAGGTGGAGGGTATGAAGGGGGTGGAAGACGCCTTCCTGCTGTTGTGACCACAGATGTGTACGGTGGAGGGTAATTGATACTGCGAGATCTTGGTAAAACCGAGTCTGAAGGAGTTTCCACTAGGTTATGTTGTTCAGTGTAAACTGCTGAAGCAGCATTTGCAGGTAAGCACCGTTGTGTCCTACGCAGGCACATTCTGTTACCGTCACAAGAAAAGGTTTCATTGAGTTGAAAACCTCCAACATGCCAGTGATTTTGATGTGTGTTTATATGAGCTAAAGTATCATTATTCTGACATGCTCTGCCAACAGGATTTCCTCCAGCCATTTTCATCTGATTAGTTTTATGCTTTCTCTGTCCTTTATTTATCATGCATATTCCACAAGCAAAAGATGTAAATGATAAACTCAAGTATAGAGACAATGAAATAGAACTATCTCTGTAATTAATTAATTAAGTCAACTATCCTGCAGTATGACCAATTAACAACTAGTATATGAAATATATCATGTTTTAAAAATGCATAGGCCTAAAAGTAATACATGTTTGTATCTGTGGCTTTTAGCCCATATTGTATTCTTATGAATTAAACCTGAAACATTTAACAAAGTAGCCTCTAAAATGATTATGATTTGCCCATCTTGAAGACCAATAAATAATAGCTACATGTGTTTCAATAAACATGTAAATATCTTCAATAATTTAATTAGGTAAATGTATAAATATATTGAAAAACAATAATTGAACTTTGGTCTACATATTTTAATCTGTTAATTACTACTTATCACACAATAAAAATGTAATTCACATTTCTTAAAAGACAAACTAATGAATATTCTACCCTTTTTCAACTCAAATGATTGTTTTAAACTTAAAGCCAAATCCATGCTATAGAACTAATAATCATAATCATTTATTTTAATATAATATCACAACAACTAGAGCGGTAAAAATTGTAAAAAATAAAATGGCTGTGGTGAATAACATAATTACAATTAAGTATGTTTTAAAACGTATAAATCTAGATCCTACAGCACACAACTGTTGGCAAACTTATTGTAACTTATAAGATAATACTTAACTTAGTAGTTTTCCTGATGATATTTAACCAAATTTTACACAAAAAACATAGTTAACAGTGAAAAATGTTTTCCTATGACCACAAATGACTGAATGAACACAATGATATCTTATCCAAAGAAAGTCTTCTTCAGCTGGTTGTCACTGTTGATGATGGGAGAATGATCAGACCTGTCATTGTCAAGTAAGTTGCAGTCTAAATAGTTCCCGAGATTGGTCACTGATTTACTATTTATTTCTTCACAACAAATTTCTCTGAACATGTTAATTGTGATAGAGAACAATTTATAGGTTGTAATGACTGTTCATTTTAATCTTAACTTCACATGCATTGGAGTGATTCTGAGAAAACTACTATGAACTTACAGTCTCAGAAACTGAACCAATAACCAACCACCATCACAAACACATGCGAACACAACATCACGACTATACTGGATTTTACACATGCGTACACACAGATCTCTGTCGTGATCCTGTTGCCATCTGAAAAGATGACTCCTGATTGGTTTGCGGTTGTCTCGAAAATACCGATGTTATCGCCATCTCTTGTCCGTATCGCATAATCAAATCAATAGAGAAACAATACGAAATATTTGAAACGGTTAGTTTTGTTTCGGATATTCGTGTAAAGCGACACAAGGGCGATTTGCACTAGGCGTCCATAATTTGAGCCGATGGAGTAGAGTCAACTATTCAGTATTACCCACCGCCACCTTATAGTGCAATTTGACCATGGCCTAAAGTATAGAGAGTATTTTTTTATTTCTTTTTATAGCAATGGAACACGAATCACCGATCCACAGTTCAGCTTGATAATCATTTAGCCAATTGTGGCCTAGATCTGAAATTACACTTTTATTTTAATTTAACAACATGAACTAAAAATTTCCTATGGTATATTATACTTCAAAAATTTCACAGTGGGTAAAAAAATTATGTTATTTGCAATTAAAATTGCATCTGATGTCATATATTATAATATTTTCAAACGGTGAATTATTGTTGCATAAATGTATATACTGTTGCGTCAGCGAGGTCACGTCATTAGTATCACGCCACCTGTTTCTAGAAATATCCTGTTCCTTCATGAATGCCCTAGCATTTACTAGATATGTGTTAGTCTTGTATATATATAAGACGATCACAACGTGACGGAACAACAGAGGTAATGAGTAACTGAACTGCAGTCAGAGAGAATATTGTTAAGCACGTGAGAATTATATCGTTTGTTACAGAGCGACTGTTGAAATTAAGTGTATCGTAAAGTTGTATTCGGAAAGAATAAACCAGTTTTATTTAAAAAAGGACTTGTGTCGCTAAAGTTTCGTCGAAACGAATTTACGGAAAATTAACTAACGACTGGAGGCGTAACAATGTAATCGGTCAAATATTATTGTCTTATGACACATATAATTATTATAATTTCAATCATGCTTCACTAGCTTGGAAAAGGCGATCATGCCATAACAGTAGTGTTGTAGGCTGGGTTTTTAAACGTTCGTGTTGTTGTTTGGCGAGTGGTAGGCTTGATGTTACATAATGTATATGCGATTTAACATTTAAATTTTTCTCCATAGTTTTAGAAAAATTAAACCATATATGAAGAGAGGATATCTGTTAATCAGTTAACGAGTATTCATCAGTTGGTGTCTCGCGAATGACTAGCAAAGTAAAAAAGTTAGGTCTACTAATAACTGGAGGTTTTTGAATCTTGGACTTGGGTGTACATTTTACCAATGAGTGGTGACAGTCGAGTCTCAAAGAAGTAGACGAGACAAAGATTCATACAAAGAACAAATGTTTATTGATAATTTTACAATTTTAAATATAAAAAAGCACTACTATACAATAAAAATACTATACAATTCACAGTAGGGCAAGTAATCTTGTGTTTATGTGTACAACGGATAAAGGACTAGCAAGAGCAATGAAGACTTTAATATACAAATAAACTCTTAATAGTATGAGTAGGCCTGACATGGCCTGATGGTTAGGACACTCTACTTGTAATTTGTGGGTTCCATGTTCGAATCTGATCACCAAACATACTTATCCTTTCAGCAACGGAGGTATTATAATGTGACAACTATTCCCACTATTCATTAGCAAAGACTGGTTTGTTTTGAATTTCATACAAACTAATAAAGGGCTATCTGTGGTAGTCACCCCTAATTTAGCAGTGATAGGCTAGAGGGAAGGTAGTTAATCATCACCCACCACTAACTCCTGAGCTATATTTTACCAATCAATAGTGGGATTGACTGAAAGAGTAAGTGAAAGTGACGGGAATTCAAACCAGTGACCCACAAATCGTAAGTCAAGTGCCCAACCACCAGGCCATGACACACTCTTATTAATAAAGAGAAAAATAAGTGAATGGTGTTAACTAATTGCCTTACTTCTAGTCTATGATTTCAAAATTAAAGGCAGCTAGTGCAGATAGCTCTCGAGTAACCTGCATTAAATTCATAATAAAAAAATAAAGCTAGGGCAAATTCTTCTCCCCTGTGACTTGGTCTAGGATATAGATGAGGAATACTAACAGAGTCTATCACCAAGTTGAGATGTAAAATAATAAAGTTAATCATCGCTTTAATCTATGTGAAATCCAAATTCCAAATAGCACCTGCACAAATGAAAAATAAAGTTAACTCTAATGTACCCAGAGAACTTGAGGAATTCTCGGTTGAAGTTAAGTTTATTAAAATACTATCAAAAATCTGTGTTAAGTCTGTATAAATACTCTTTGAAAATATGTGTAAATACTCTGTGAAAATCTGTGTAAAATACATTTTCCTAAACCCCAACACTGTCTTAAATATGTCGATAAACTTCAAGTTTCTAACACAATAAATCAGTGATCGGTGCTTGTTAAATCAACTGGTCAATGAGCAGTGAAGTTTATGGGCGAGTCTACTCCAAGCTGTTATCTAATTCGCCAAGAAAGAATACCTCAGTTAGCAATTTATCAAAATGTCATTTCTCTAAGAGAATCTGTTAAACAGGTTTCTTGAGCTTTACTTAACTATGTTGTGAACTGTATGTTAGTTATAGGGCGTATGATGTTAATAAAATAAATGTTTATAAAAGAAGTCCTAGAAAGTTGAGAAATATTAGTGATTAAAGATCTTTGCAAAGTGTCTACATATAAATACAAGTGAACAGTTAGATCAGTAGTGGTGAACTGTAAATGAGTATTGAGTACTCAATTGTTTTCAGCTGGTAGAGTGCTTGTCATTCTGTGAAGTATTTAGTTTCAGAGAAGTGTTTGGATCTAGATTAGTTGTTAGGTTTTGTATGGGCCAGATTTTTTTCAGTAGGTGTCTGTGACTTGTTGGCGATAAATTTCAATAATAAACAAACAGCACGCAGTCCACTTGTTTCAAAATAATATATTAAAACAAGACAAATGTTCGTCACAATGGTTATCACAGTTGTATCCTGAGCTTTAAGTAATTGTATCTGTTTCGTCAAAGTCCACACAGATTGGTTCAATTAATTTAAAACACAATTGACAAGACAAATTATTCTTCTCTACTTTATTATTACAATACAATCTGTGATAATTTCACTTTAAAAATTGCCACTATATGCTCTTTATGGCCAAACTCACGCATTCTAGATCTATCTTTCGAACTAAATTTTGGACGTGTATTTACACCCCGACAGATGTCTAGAATGTTCCACACACACTACTAGATATTATGATGCAATTAAAACAGCGAAACAAACTCAAAAGGTTTTCGTAACATGATGCAATAATATAACAATCACCAATTCATAACTGCTGAACTACACAACATATGATTCTTAAACGGTTACACGAACAAATCTGTGATAAACTACTACTTCTAAAAATAACTAAATTCAACATAACTATCTCAATAATAAGTCTCACATTAAATTTAAATGGAAACAGTCGTGTATATCTAACATTAGCTATCGAGTATCATTGCCATATGAAGCAATTTTTGAATGGTCAGGCTATTGCCACAGTTAAACAATGTGACGCATGATGTGTGTGAAAAGCACATTACTGGCATGCAAAGCATGTCATTCCTGTGAGCTCTGGAGGCATGCTCCCCAAATTATTTTTGAAAATTTAATACTATGAGATTGAATCTTGAGCCATTTTAATTACAAATACTCTATACTCACAACGTATATTGCATATTTCAAATTGCATGACCATGTACTTTGGCTGAATATTATTTTAACATCTAATTTTGGTACAAGTTGTAATTAGAACACATTATAGTGAAGACTGATAGTGTATGGTTTCGATTTGTAGTTGCTTCAAGCTGTACTAAGTTTTACAGCAAAGTTTTATGGAAATAAGATGTTTGTGTGATTGAAAGGTGGTACTTGTACAGTGGTAAACTTTATTTCAGTTATTTATGTAAAAACCACTATTTACGATTCGCATCCCATCCTTCCATTTCGAAAATGAGCCCTGTTACTACAACAACCAAACAATTGTAAAAAGCTCAGAGGCATATGTACCAGTATTGTGTTAGTTGTGGTCATTTGGTAATGGTACAGTGGGGAACACAGTTGTATGCTGGTTAATAGCATGTCCTAGACTAGGATATTCACAGGCGCTTGATAAACATTTTCTTCAGGCAATACATGCATAAGTACAAACATGTCTTTAGAAGTTACGCTTGGCCAAGGTAATATTTTTGACACTTCGCGTGCGCAATCTGCTTTTAGAAGTGTATTATTACAGGAGTATTAAAAAGTTCAAACCTCCACTTATAATTGAATTCCTGACCAAACATTCTCAATTCTGACATTTCTTGTATAACATCAAATTCTTAACCCTTTGGGCCTGGCATGGCCTGGTAGTTAAAGTGCTCAACTCGCAGTCTGAAGGTCGCGGGTTCGAATCCTCGTTGCCAAAAATGCTCGCCCTTTCAGCCGTGGGGGCGTTATAATGTGATGGTCAATTCCATTATTCGTTGGTAAAAGAGTAACACAAGAGTCGGCGGTGGGGGGTGCCTTCCTTCTAGTCTATTACTACTAAATTAAGGATGGTTAGTGAAGATAACCCTAGTGTAGCTTTGCACGAAATTAAAAAAAAATTAAACATTCTGGCTCTCTTATCTACTTAACTGGTAAGCAGTTTACATTAATTCATTTATTTGACTATCCTACTCTAGCGAAATAGAAGGCAAAAATTTTCTTTTTGGTGATTGGCAATTTGGAGATTAGCTGGCAGTTCCAAAGACATCTAAAGTCAACCAGACAGTGGCTCACTGATACATCTTTCATGCAGGATGTTGTGGAAGCCACAAATTGTCTATTCCTGAGTTCTGAGGAACCACCCCAAATTCCATCAACATCAGCTATCTTTTTATTCATGAGCTGCTGACAGGCAAGCCATCCATGGTGAGGGAGCCATTATCTTTCC